TTATAAAGCGTACATATTTAGGAAAGAATATATATAGTTGTGAAAAAATTCATATTTCACTAGGGAGAGGCATCAGTAGGCACTACACTACCACCAAGTGGTACAATCTCCTTGTACTTTTTACATTTTCCCACCCTCCACCCTCACCAGCAACACAAGGCAAGGTTCAAAACTCTCACAACACTGTTATGAATAAATTAAATCACTGTGATGCACAAGAAATGTGTGGGTCAACGTTATATCCTGGGTCACTAAAGGGAGACTGGTGTGGTGACCTTGAGTGCAGTCTACATAGTTGCCAGACCGCGCTCACAATGTCAATTGTGTCTTGCATGTCGAACGTTCATACAAAAACAAAATTATTCTTATTCTATTTTAATTTTGACCTCATATGCAAATTTGCAAATGAAAGCCCCATGAGTGTTAATACACCTAACTGAGAGTCCTTGATCCCTGGACGGTTATAACTGATATTTTCTCATAAATGTTGAAGAAGTGGCAAAACTTCTCCTGTGCACTGTATTTAGTCAGTGCAGTTAAATTAAATGATCTTAGACAGTTTAATTACTGTAAGAGACAAGCCCCAGAAGCTTGTAATTATTAACCAGGTTTAAGATAATGAGATGCTTTAAAGTATTTGGTATTAAGTCCAGCATTTCACAATTCATTCTAAAAACTGGAAAAAAAAAGAGTAAATTATTTTGCTTCTTGCAAGAGGTTTCAAATTAGAACTGAACCAAATCCCATAAAGAAAGTTTGTAAAAAAAAATGCCAGGATACTTTCACCTGAAATCTCTCCCAAAATTGAGCTCATTTGACTAACTAGAAATGGGAAATAAGCTTAAATGACAAATATATCCTGTACAAGGAGATAAAGTTTGTAAACTAAAGAAAAAATATTACACTTAATATGAAGTTCCTCTTATAAGAAAGTACGTATAGGCAATTTACTAACAACATTCATAACATCTTGCCTAATCTAAAATGCATGTTCTTATCCATCACACAGGTTACATCTTTATTAGTTGTCACTCTTCAACCAGTTGAACTTGTCCTAAACTCCCACCTTGCCCGGTGTCTGTTGAAAGCTTTTATATTGAAGATCTTTCAAATAAATGATACAAGCTCGTCAATATTTACAATCAATCAAGGAAACACAAAAAGGGTTACGACTCAGAATATCTACATCTTTAGTATCATTAACTTTTTTAAGCATTAGTGTAACCTCATACCTGTATCTGCCACAGTGAACACCCAATGTAGGTGACAATAGTTAAGTAAAAAAAATAGACAAAATAATAATAATTCAGTTTCCTATTTGTTAGGTTAGTTCAGCTTAGCTCAGTCCCTTATCAGACAGCTCTCATTAATATAAAAGTCTTTTGGGAGTTGTAGCACAGTAGGTTATCCCTTAACTGGGCACAGTACTGATGTTATGATTGTCCAGCCCTTCCCACTGCAACTACTGTAGTTACCTCACTTAACAGACTGGACAGAAAGCAAAGGCTACCCTCCAGTGACACGGGGTCTACAAGGTCAGTCATGACTCCCAAACCAGTATATAGAGTATACATAATGCCACATATGCCATCAACTTAATTTCAGAGTCAATTCGTCATTTCTTAATCAGTTTCCAGTTGACTATTGTAAACCTGACAACTTTCACACATTTGACATAAAACTCACATTTTGATCAGATTTTTGTATAATTTAAGATTTCCTTGTTTAGAGGTTAAGGAGTTGAAAATGTAACAGCTGTTCTGACAGGTTCAAATCAATGCAGCAGCCAGTCTGCATGAGTGACAGATGTATAACCATGTCACAGTTCCAGAATTATTCCCTTGGAGCCGAGAACTAAAGTTACGACCAAACATGGGCTATGGGCCTATTTTTAAGAAAAATCTGGAAAATAAGTAAATCTGACAAGTCAGAACAGGTTCTCATTAATTATATAACTCAAAAACAACTGAAATAAGGCTTAAGCACTGGATGTTTAGCACAACTATGATCATAAGCCCCAGTGCTAAGACTGTGTCATTTTGACATGATGACAAAGATATAAAAGTGAAAACACTTGGGTATCCTTTAAGGCATATCCTTAAGAGTAATACTGCAAGGTCTTAACAATCCTGCTGACAGGAGGGAAAATAAACTGCAGTATGAAGCTTATGACCTGACTATACCCAGTGGTCCCCGAGACAACAACTGGATTATGGTAGACTTAAACAGGGTAAAATGAATGGAAATGCTGCAGTGCATTCATCACTTCCAGCAATATGCTATACTGTATTCAGTGGCAAATCCGGGGAGGGGGGGGGAGTCATACCCTCCTTTTCTCCCAAGCCTCACCTCACATCAGGTCAAGGGTCAGTTTGTGCCAAGACAAACTTGCCCCCTACCAACTCTTACACACTCCTGGCTAATTGTATACGTACCAGGATTAGTGGTCTATGTCCGGTGCAGGTAATTTATCTCTAGTCAGTTGGTACCAAACTGTCATAAAGTTCAAAGGGACTGTCAAACTAACAGCCTGTGGGATGAAAGGTGACAGGAGTAATGACCTCACATGAAAAGTGTTGCCACCACTGACAACAGAGGGGGAGGTGGAAGTTAGGGCAGGTGATCACAGGTGTTGGCTCTGATGCAGGTTCACTACACAAAGAAATTAAATATCAGCAAAATCATGGACAAGTTTACCATCAAGTAACCCAGATGGATGTTGATGTTTATATTATACTGTATGTAAATTCTTTTATTTATGGGTTATTGTGCAAGACTTTTATTTTACTTAATTATCTGGCTTATCCACACAGTTCTTCAAAGTCAAGAGAGAAGCTTTCTTTAACTGCAAGATAAATGGTCGACTCCTCTTTTTGAAGGTTACTATCTCAATCAATCTCAATGATGGAATGCACAGAACTGATTTGCTATGCATAAAAAAAAAGCTGAAATAGACTTGAGGTAAGTCAGGTGAGGTCATTGGGAGGACAGGTTGTGTGATCCGGTAAAATTTCTTCACCAGGAGTCAGGTGTGAGGTCAGGTAGTGTTTGTTAACCCTTGAGGTCATCTGAATATGTATTGTAACTTTGTCTTGTGTAGTTTATGTCACTGTCCCCGGAGTTGTCGGGTTGACAGGTTTTATGCCAAATTGGCTAATTTTGTGTCTGGTTGGTGAACAAATTTTGGTTGAGGCGGGTTAGCAGTTTTTGGCTGTTTTCTACTTAAGTTGGCATTTCTTCTAGGGCTGGTTATTGAGTGAGGTGTGATATTGATTAACTGTATAACCAGGAACAGAAATATGGCAGTGTTATACAGTTTTGTTCCTTAACATTCCCACAATGATCAGTTACTATCCTCACAGACACCTCAGGTTGACTTTGACTGTCACTCAAGGATATACTCCCCTCTGGGCCTCTCCCTCACCTCACCACTAAGGTGCAGTGAGCCAGTACCTTTGATAATTCCTCCGTGCGTGAGAATTATGATGTCATTGGCCAGGATTGACGACACAAAGTAACCGTGTACAGTATGTTGTACCTAGTGTAGTGTTAGGTCATTATTTACACCCACTGCCATGGAAATGATCAACAGTAATATACATGATTAAAAACTGTGCTACAATATGTTAATTTATAACAAACAAAACACTCACAAAATGAAGCTGTGATGGAAATGTGTTCAACGTTCCAGTGGCAGCATGACGACAAACTTAGTTTCATTACTTTATGTTGCTGAAGGTGTTTAATGAGATGTGATTTATTTTATATATACAGTGCTCCCTCGGTTAACGAACACAATTAGTTCCAGAAGTCGTTCGTTAACCGAAACCATTGTTTCAATGGGATTTTGGGTAATTGGTTCCAGCTCACCAAAAATTACATACAAAATAAAAATAAATGCAGTAAAGTACACTTACTTTGAGATGTGTATGTAGAAGGCTCCTGGTTGATGATGATGGGAATTAGTAGTGGGGGTGGAGGAGAAGGGAGAAGAGAAGGAAGTGGGGGTGGAAGAGAAATCACCCCATGCTTCATGCTGCCATTTCACCCATAAAATTTTAAGTTCACTCGGTGTAATTCAAGATTATTTTCTTTAAATCAATACTGTACTGCACATTGTCAATATGTTAAATAAATTTCAGAATGACCAATAATTGTACTGTAAAAACGTAAAAATACTCTGTGTTCAAGAGACCCACAAGCAAGATGTTTCCTCCACTGAACAGAAATACAAACTGAGGCCTTGGTGGGTGAGTGAAGTGGCTGATGGGCGCACCAAAACTAGTTCCCAGTACTGCAATTATGTTAAATAATTGTTAAAATGACTAAAAACTTTAATATAAAACTTGGAAAATTATTGAATAGTACAACCTTCTTGATATTTTGTCATGGTCAAGTTGACTGCTAGTCTGTTTTAACACTAATGATTCTTATTAAACTCCACGACCGCAAAACATGAGAGGATAGCTGGTTAGCTATCCCCTAGAAGGAGCGTGTTTACCCTCGTGATCCCTCCCAGTAAGTCCCGCCTTCGAACACAGTTGTCGATACGTTGTTTATTCCACTTCTCCTGGGAAGCTCAATCTTGGATTAGTCTGTGTAAATCAACTCAAGTAATTTGCCAGACCTTTGTCAACTGAGGGTCATCCTTGAATGAGTAACAGTTGAGTTGTTTGTAATCTCTGTCATTGCGTGAGTAGCGATCGCTGGCAACTCGGGTATATATACCACGGGTAAGAGAAATAGAGCGTCCCCTGACGTCTGCTCTCCCATTTGTCTCCAGGTATGTTCTGTGTTCCCTAGCCATTCAGTTTGATTCAGTCAATTGTAGTGATTATCAGTGTTTATCAGTGTTCATGGTTTATCAGTTGAATTGTCATTCACCCAGTGTAAGAAGTAATATAACGTAAATGTCGTTTGTCGTTTCCAGACAAGAGATCTGTTGTGGTTGTGTTGTCATGCTTCCATCCCCTGACGTCTGCTCTCCCGTTTGTCTCCAGATCCAATTGTGGCTCTTGGATCACTCAACGACTGCCCCGGATGCAGTAGATACCCAGCAGGGATCAATACATGAAACGATGGCACCGATTCGGCATGATTAATCTGCTCCACTGCCTCGTGGAGCCAGACCCCAGACTCGCCATGTGTCTGGCTACCACCGACCACAGCAACGGTCGTGAGCCCCAGTGTTCTACCCTGGGACGCTCCCTGGAAGTTATATGTCCACAGAGTGTGTTGTAATATGTATGTTTGGGGGATAATTAGCAGGGAATAATTATCCCATGTTGGGTAGTGGACCCATGTATTTGCTGGTTTCAGTATTAACGTGTATGTTGTGAGTGCATCTCATATGCACTACCGACAGTCAGTAAGTTGTGTAAAATACCTTGTAATGTGTGAGGAGTAAAGTTGTCCACTTGGGACTAGGAGTAAAGTCTTGTAACTGTAATGAGATGTACCACTAGAAGATGTGGGTGAAGTAGAAGTACCTACTTGGAGTGGCAGTAAAGTAATCTACAAGGAGTGCCATGTACTATGTATTGTGAGTAGGGCCAAGGAACTGGTCCTGCTAGGTAATATAATGTAACACCAGTAAGGTTGTGTGCAGTAAGAGTGTAGGATCTAAGTAATTGCTGTTGAGTAGAAATAAGAAAATAGTGAGTCTGAAATAAGCCCAGGAGTTGAGCCTGGTAGTTGTATGTTAATAATATCTCTTTTTCCCTTGATTTCATATTAATAAACTTGTTCTTAGAGTATTTTAGGAGTATTCATTTCTCCCACAGTAGTTACCTTTATTTCCGTCCAAGTGACTTGATACCAGAATTACCATACCCATGTACCTAGACCCTCGTTCATGCTACCAAAGAGGAACTAAGGTTATGCAGTAACCAGTGAAGTAAGTAAAAGGAACATGTGAAGGAACTGAGTAAGAGTAAGAACTAAGACAAGAGAAGTAAGTAAGATAAGGGTGGTGTAGGTGTTGAAAAACGCGCGCCCTTACAATTTACTCAAATGGGAACGAATTTAAGCCCTAGAACTGATTACTGTAATGGTGGACTAATATTCCAGCTGGTGAGCAAGCGAAAACATGTTGAAAGGAATTCGTAAGGAATTTCATTAACCAAATTTTTTTCGTTAACCAAATTGAATATTCTTATGGGAGGTAATTTGTTAATCGAAATTTTGTTAACCGAGGCGTTCGTTAACCGAGGGACCACTGTACCTATAATGTCATGCTGTATTGTTGTCCACCTCTGTTAGTCACGTGTAGTCAATTAACAACCTCCTTAAAAGGCTTTTAGTTTCATTACATTAATTGTTGATGGTATTTAAATAAAATGTGGCCTTTTTCCCAACCAAAAATATTACTTTTTCCCTGTGACTATAAACAGTTAACCCCAAATCTTATTCCCCCCGTACAGTATTATACATTAGGATAAAGTCCCTTAATGTGAAGTATTACAGGAAAAGACAGGAATTGTTTGTAAGACACTTAACAAAACTACATCTCACAGGTCCTTCACGAAAGTCAATAGGTCATAAAATTTTTTATTCATTATGGATAAAATTACCCACATATTTAAATATTTTCATTCACATGAAACTAATACTGGATATTTTAGGTCAGAAATGTAAAGTTTACAATGAAACTAGAGAGAGCATTAATGCCAATCACACCAAAACACACATAAATAAATAGTTATAAAAATATGTGCAACTACCTTATATACCAAATAATACTTGAACACTACAACATCACTCAGTACAGTACATACTACTACAGCATCGTAAGTCATCCATCATACTTTTCTATGGACTTTCTTATGGCTGCAGCAACTTGCCAAGGGTCATGTGATCTGTACACAATCTGAAAACATAAAAAGTTGATTTATGCATTATTAATTAATATCACAATCAAATATTTCTTTTTCTATACTCATAGTTCGATCACAAAGAGTCTTACAGTATTTCCAAATTGCAGAATATCAATTACTGTATCCACCAATGTAAGAATTATGCATAAAAGTTTTCAATTTATTGCAAATTAAATTTTGAGACCAAAGCATTTCATTATCACAGGGTATTTAATTTTTTCACGACTCAAACAATGCGTGTAAATCAAAAACCAACCTTCCAGATGCAAACATTTTGTGTGTGTATGTGTACAATTATTCATTAAAAATCATCCCTTAATAACAAGTGCAAAAAGACCTGCCAATGCTTTACCAAGTACTGTATGTCGAGAAACAGCAAAAGAGGGTCATTTTAAAGGTGAAATTCAACATACACCAAAACTGCAAGCTCTTCAGAAATGAAGCTCCATACATTAAGGGTCTAGATAACACTGTTTACTGTTCTTGTTCAGCATGGGATGCTCCAAGATGTCTGCACCTCAACATCTTCCATTGTTATGAAGAAAGTTTAGAATCATTACGTACAGTATCTTCAAAAAATACTGTAAATCAAGTAGCCACAAATTACAAAAGTCCTAACTTGGGAATTTTCTTACATAACCCAAAACCTTGAACAAATATGACTTTAGGTACTGTATATCTCTCTGGGACCACTCCCCATCTATCATTAGACTCAGTCTCTCACAACCAGACAAGAATAAAAAAAATACAACCCATTGAATAGCAAGAGATTACCGGACTCCACTACTAATTAACTTACCTCAAAAATTTCCAAAGAACTCATGTCAGCCCTTAATGACATACAATTCCCTCTAGACACAAGATGGGCTATTGCTGGTATACGACCTTTTGAGGCTCGTTCAGATGTCCCTAGGGCAGGCCATGCTCCGGCAAACCTATAAAGACGGAGAGGAAATTTGACTTTAGCAGAAGACTTATTCATAAATTCTTCTTAATGCAGAAAAACAATATGTGTATCTGTTAATGAATAGCAAAACCTTGTCTCCTGATTTCTACTACCTTCACCTCTCCAAGATTTGAGGGGTGGCCAGAAGCACCATCTTCCCTAAACACTTCACCCAATGATCTACTCCACACCGGCATAAGTTAAAGATCATCTACTGTAAACTATGATTAAAAATTTCTTCATACTAGTTTGGCTATAATGAAAAACAGAACCAAAACCTATTTCTTTTCTTACACAGCAGTGCGATCGATCATGTGCACAGAGCGATCGATCATGTGCACTACCATAGTTCTCACACTCCCATCACAATTATGTCACACAAAAATTCCAGCAACTTACCATTAAGATTTCCATGTATCTTTCCAAACTCACCTCACTTATATATACACACCCCTTTAGTCATTTATTACACTACAATAGCCTTCATATCTTTGTATTGTATCTGTCCATCTACACACCCTAATGTGTTCACACCACCTCAATACACTGTTCAACTACACAATTCACATGTTCACTAATATACACTAGTACTTTCCTGAAGTTAATATTATCTCAGCAGGATTTTTTTTTTTTTTTTTTACGGGAATTAGCCCACCCGGGCACAGGTCACTGACCCACATCGGGGCATAATAATAATAATAATAATAATAATAATAATAATAATAATAATAATAATAATAGTAATAATAATAATAATAATAATAATAATAATAATAATAATAATAATAATAATAATAATAAATAATAATAATAAATAATAAATAATAAATAATAATAATAATAATAATAATAATAATAATAATAATAATAATTCATAGTAAATAAAATTTAAAATAAAAAGTAAAATAAAATATTAATGGTAATAATAATAATAACAACTGTGATAATAATAATAATAAATACAAAGAAATACAAGAATGAAAAAAAATAGTGAGAAATGCTATATGTATGTTGTGTTGTCATGTAAGAGAAACAATTGAGACCCTACAATTGTGTGTAAATGAGGCAGAAAGACAGATCAGCAACCTGGGACTTGGACCAATGTCACTTGGTCATAATTTTTGTGATGCCATATGGCAGCAGGGTCTACCATAGACAACACATTACACTTCCAATATCTTCCCAGGCGGTAGTACTGTACCTCCCTGTAACTTTATCAATCTCTCTCTAATGCTTTATCGTCCTCTATTTACCTTATTTCTCTCTTCATCTAACTCAGGAAGGCAAGCCACCTTTATTTCCTCAGGCAGTAGTGACCCAGAACCTTGTCAGCTTGGAAGTCCTACATATAATGACCAGTTCCCACTCTGTAAAAGTGTGGTGATAGGAAGGACATTTGAGGCGCTCAGCATTAGAAGGGGGTACAGCGACACCCTGACCAAAATGTGTTTTTTAATGGATATCACTATTTTCACCCTTCCTCTACATGTTGGCATTGGATGTAACCCTCTAGCTAGAATAAAAACATGGTAGAAAGTCCTTCAAAAATAAGGTGTGATTTCGCCTCAGGCCTGGAGCTACGTATCTGGCTGTGCACTCAGTCAAAGAAGGTGGCAACATCCTGTTCAGTGCGAGAGGAGCGCGAGCCAATGACAGTGCGCCTTCCACGGACCATACCTCCTTAGGCAGCCAATCACAATGGATTTCCCCTTGATTTGTCACAGCTCCTCGGTCAATCCAAGCGCCCAGATGCTGCCTCCTTAGTTTTGGCGAGTTGTACAGCATCAGGAGGTTAAGTGTATGCTCTACTGCTATTTTTTATAACTTTTCTGCGTAACATTGTCGTTATTTGTGTTCCACGGGTGTGAGAAGTGCTGTGCCATATCTGGTGTGGGTTCAGGAGCCTATTATTCCTGAGCGTGTGTTTAGTGACGACAGTGCTCATGTGGACACCCCAGGAATGCTTGGTGGTAGTGATAGTGATTTTGGTATACTCATAATACAAAAAGTGACTGCTATGCATCACAAGACCTTTTTGCAGACTGTGATCCGGTACAGAGTTACGTGACGTGCGCCGACGGCAATAATGACGATGAAAGTGAGTCTAATGGTAACACAAACAGTGACACTAATGTATCACAAGAACATACAGACTGTGAGGAGGTAGAAGTGGACAGTGATGAGACATGCATTGACTTTGATGGTGAGCCTGACCCAACGAATGACAGTGAAAGTGAGCCTATAACTCAGTCTTATGATGAACCTGAACTGTTGCCGGCATCAATAATAATCAATGATTTAGTTGATGAAGAATCTGTGTGGCGATTTTTAGAGGGCAGAGAAAGACTTTGATCAGTACCTGATTGATTATGACGAGGCCATTAAAGTTAATACGCACTCCTCAGGATTTACGTAACTTCAATTTACTACGACCTTCAGGGATAATAAAACGAAAGAACTAAACAAAGAAAGATTGTAATACTATTATCATAATACTGTTTTATCAAAGATTATGCAAACTTTCTCCGCCTTTACATTCGCATGTTAATTACGTGGGGGGGGAGGGGGGGGTATGAGTGTAGTGGTGTTTCCTCATTATTACCCACTATTATACCTAACAATATTATAAATCTTTGGCTAATAATAGGGATGGAAAGATAAATACTGATAGGCAAATTAGTTTTTTTATTATTATTTCATTTTGTGGGGGGGGGGGTGTAAGACGAGTGTTGTTTTTGGTGATCATTAAGTTGTTTTACAGTATTAGCTCACAAAATAAGAAAATTTAGCAGAAAAATGTTTTTATTGTTGGTTTGAAGCTCAAACAACCATACATCACGGGTAGTTATTCTCCTTCAACTCGCGATAAAATAATAACTAATCACAGTAATAACTTCCAGTTGTCACAGTTCACTAGGAGAGGGATTGAGCTGCACGATGAAAAAAAAATAACACTCTAGTTTAAAAAACAACGATGTTATGGTTGTTTGAACTTAAAAACTTTAAATGCGTTATTCTCAGCTTTTTTAATTTGGTTCTTCATCCTCTTCTAACGAGGAGCGCCTCATTTAACTTTAAAATTTGCTTCAAATTTCCCTAATACCAATTGGAACACCATGCCATTAGGTAATCACAGCTAACCAACCCATGCATAAATGGCCAACAAATGGTGGTGATGATGGTGATGACGATGGTGGTGGTGGTGATCATGGCGGTGGCGGTGGCGGTGACGGTGACGATGACGATGATGATGATGATGATGGTGGCTTATTCTCCTAACTCAACATCCACATCAAATACAAATCTTTCTCCACCATAACTGTCATTCCATAAAGGTTTTTCTCAGCTTTACAAAGAACTGCATAAACACATTGAAGTTTTAGTGACACAAACACTGCCTATAGAATAAGTAAACTATTTCTTACGTTTTACAGAGTTGATTGAAAGTATCATGATAGGCCTGAACAGTGAAGTAGATGAGATTGTAGAAATCATCTCCTGGATAGTCGCTTAGGAACATCACTTCCATATCAGCTTTCCCCGTCTGGAGGAAAAAAAAATAACATCCCTTCAGAGAGAATACAAAGTTTACACTGGGTTAACCTGATGAAAACATTACTGTATGATACACTTAAGGTTTGGGGTGAGGGATGATTCAGAAGGCAGCAGTGGTCATGAAGGAGTTGAGAGCATGGCATTAAGTGATTTTGGGGGAAGGATACATTAAAAGCAGTGAACGACAACATATAGAAGGAAGAGAGAGTACTGTCTGCAGTTGATTCTAAACATCCAAGATACATATGGGGAAAAGAAACTCAAAACACAGTAAGATGATACAACCTTCACACCCACTGATCTACTAACACAAAGGGAGTTAATATGCCCACATTAACCTGGCCCGTAAGCCACGCCCCTCGTCTATAGCTACAATTAGCTGATTGGTTCATAGAAAATGTTTGGGTGTCTGTGCATTTATTCAAACTAAATGTGTTCACAATTGGTGAGCAGATCTGTTATTATCTAAAATAATGTTAAATAACTGGACTATCAAAATTCAAATGATTTCCAGGCATTGCCACTTCAGAGAGGATGTTAGAAAATTTTTAAATATTTATCATAAAAGGTCGATGTCAAAGACGAAACTCACTTTTGAATTAAATATTTTCATATTTCTTTGTTTTGTACCAAACATAAGGCAAACAGAAACAATTGATACTAAAAATATAGCACAATAGGCAATAAACTACAGTTTGTATGGCTGTATATATCCCAAATCATTTACATAAGTCAGTATCCCTGTTTGAGTTAGGTCGTGCGGGTCGTGTTGTGTCCCTGTAACAAAGTGTGTTGGCACTCAGGCCTTTGTTGTTGAGTGGCGGAAACTGGACAGTGATTACAAAAGAGAACATAAGAATGGAGGAAACTGCAGCGGGCCTATTGGCCCATACTGGCCAGTCCCGTTTATACCCAATGTGTAAATCGATGTAGGATTTTTAACGTTATTCCCGATTGTATATTGAAAAACACACTCTACCGACTGGAGGAATAGCCCCAGCCTAGGCCAGGAGGCAAACAATGGCAAAGTCATTGCCATATGACAAGGTTTATCTGGATTTTTTTTTAATGAGTTGTGTTCATGGCTGTGATTGACCATTCAAAGGCTGATCAGTATTGTGCCTTCAGTTAAGACAGTTCATAGTGACATCAGTGACCATGGAGGAGGTTGTAAATAATTTGAAGTGAAGAGCAAATTGGAGCAAGCAATCAGGCACCACTGCCGGCAGTAACCAAGTCATATTATTGGTTCCACAAAGAATTTCTTTCTTTTGTGTGTGTACTTTCTCATGGACTGAAACTGTGCCTACAATCCACCATTCACAGGGAGATACAGTGTACACAGTGATAGCACAAAGAGATATATTCGTTGATGAGAACTGGAATAAAAACATAAATAATAGTTAAAAAAAAAAAAAAATAAAATAAAATAAAATAAAATAAAAAGGCGGGCTATCTCGAACTGCATTTTATTGCCGCCTCAAGGAAAGTTTCTATTATTTTTTTCTGTACAGTATTTTCTAAAGGACTGAGTGGGCATATGATCTGTCAGTCATAACAAGGTACAGTGTACATAGGGATAGCACATAGATACAGTTGAACCTCGATTTACACGGTTCTCGTTTACGCGGTACCTTGCCAGAACCAGGATGCCCGATTTACGAGGTGAATTTACTCATTTACGCGGGTGAAGTATAATTTGTTTACTTACTGAAGATATTTGTTTTAGCTCATAAAATTCATACAAATTACCCGACCAGAATATAATTTACATTGCTGGAATTCTTATAAGATTGTGATTATTTTAAATATAAACATCATGGAATTTGCATTAGACATACAAATTTTAGATCTAATGTAAGAATTTTGATTAGAAAGATCAAAATTTTTATCTTTTGTGCAAAATATATGACGTTTATATTCAAAATATTCCTGGTCTTGCAAGGAATCCAGAAATGTCAATTATATTATCCTAACTTTAGTCTGAGGTATTATTTATTACTAAAAATGTAAGCCTACTGTTTTCACCCAAACATTTCTCAGAGAGGGAGGAGACAACAAGCGTGGGAAGAGGGGGGGAGGAGTTGAGTCCATTATTTGAATGGACATTAACCGGGCGACTGTATTTCTTTTAATTATTAATTGTGTGTGCATACCATCATAAAATTAAGATGTTATTTTTACTACAACGTATTTATTATTTCGGAAAAAGTGGAGTTTAGGGGTCGGCCCAGTCTTTATTTCAATTAATCCCATATGTTCTGTTATTTCATTTACGCGTTTCTCGTTTTATGCGGTACTCCACGGGTTTAATTGACCACGTAAATGCAGACTCCACAGTACTGCAGGGCGACGTCGGACGTACATTGTGTGGGGCTGAACAATTCAGCGTTTAGGACGATACAAGTTGTGGTAAGGCATGAAGGCTGTTGCTGGTATTGCCCTGACTGCATAGTCAAAGTGAAAGAGGCGATTGCAAGCCATAGGGGAACAAGCTTCCTAGGGACGAAAATAGATGAAGTTGGATCCTTGCTGGTTGTCAAACTAAAACAAGTTGGGGAAGAGATCCTTGCTAAGACAGAGGAAGTAGCCGATAGAATGAATGGGGTAGCAAAGAGGAGTTATGCTCAGACCTTAGCAGGGCCACGGGAGGTGGCGGAGAGTAATGCAGGATCAGAACAGGTTCTACAACAGCTAGGGGCTCTGAAAAAGCGTGTTGAAGAGATGGCAACTAACGGACCTACTGTTAGGGGAGAGCAGGAACAACGGAAACGTCTCCAGCGCAGGAACAACGTAATACTTTATGAAGTCCCTGAGAGCCAGTTGGAGGAAGATGAGAGTAGGATAACACACGATAAGTTGCAGTTTGAGAAAATTTGTTCAGAGAAATGAGAGTTCAGTATTGCTTGATATGACTCATTTATGAACCTTTCTCAAGGAACTTGCAAGAGGGGTGTGGTTATCTATGCTAGGCAAGACCTTAGAGCCAGCCAGGTGAGGGTACAGGGAGAGGATGTTTTTGAAGAGTCCAAGTGGTGTAAAATTAAATTAAAGGGAGGAGACTTACTTATTGTCGGGTGTATTTACAGATCCCCAAGCTGTGGCCCACTAAATCAAAGGGACTTAAGAGCCTTAATAGACAATGCAGCAATGCTCAACCCTCGCCACCTCCTAATCATGGGAGACTTTAACTGTGGCGACATTGACTGGAGAAATGAGTTCACCCCAAATGACTTATATAACCCCGCTACTTTTTTTTATAGAAACTCCGAGAGATAATTTTCTGTTCCATCATGTTAAAGACCCGACACATTACAGAGGGGAGCAAACACCCAAGCCACTAGATCTCATCATAACAAACGGGGAGGGTATGGTGGCCAAACTGGAACATCTAGCCCCAGTTGGCACCAGCCACCATTTAGTGTTGTCATTCAGATTTAACTGTTACTTAATTCACGACAAAACCAGGCCAAGGTGCAAATATTACAAGGGAAATTATGACGGGATGAGAGAGATGAGGGGTATCCACTGGACTGACTCACAAAGGCACAAGAACGCAGACACTACGCTGAATATCATAGCCAGTAAAGTGAACCATTTGATTGAGAAATATATACCTAAGACCAAACCCAGTACCTCTAGGAGTACGAGGAGACCCCTACACGTGAACCTTGCGGCAGTCGGCAAAGTTAAGAAGAAAACCCAGAAATTCAAGGCATGGGTTAGGTCAAACGATGAACAGAACAGGAGGATGTATGCAAGAGCCAAGAACCAAGCAAAGTCAGAGTGTTGAGGGGCCGAAATGGAGTTCCAGAGGCTGGTTGCAAGCGAGGTCAAGTCAAACCCAAAAGCATTTTACCGCTATGCAAAGTCGAAATTAAAAATGCGAGTTGGAGTATCAGACCTGAGGCTTGAAGATGATAGTTACGCAGATTCTGGATTCTGACCAGGACAAAGTTGAGGCATTGAACAGTTTCTTTTCCTCGGTGTTCACAAGAGAGGATGCAATTAATCTTCCTGCTTTTGAGGACAGATTGTTTGACACAGCACTGACCCACATTGTGTTCACAGAAGAGGGCATTAGAAATAAACTGTCAGAGCTAAAGGTTCATAAGAGTCCCCGCCCTGACATGGTGCATCCTAGAGTGTTAAGAGAGTTGTGCTACGAGCTTGTTGAGCTCCTGAAGATCTTGTTCTGTAAATGCCTGGTTGAACATAAGGTCCCCAGTGATTGGAAAGTGGCTTATGTGAATACTATCTTCAAGAAGGGCGATCGTCACTCCACGAACTATAGACAGGTGAGCCTGACCAGCATAATATGTAAAGTACTTGAGAGTATTATCAGAGATGCCGCGATGGAACATCTACTATGAAACAACCTTGTAAAGGATTGCCAACACGGTTTTATACTGGGACGCTCCTGCTTAACACAATCACTCGAAGTACTGGATGTCTGGACCCCAATTCTGGAACGGGGTGGCAATATCAACACTATATAACTAGAATTTGCCAAGGCTTTCGACAGCATACCCCATGAAAGGCTGAAAATTAAACTGGAAGTGTACGGGATTCGGGGAAATGTCCTAGCGTGGATCGGAGACTTTCTCCATGACTGCAAGCAGTGTGTCGTGATTAATGGCACGAAATCATCATCTGTACCTGTCACAAGCAGGGTACCACAGGGCAGTGTATTGGGCCTGCTGTTGTTTGTTTGCTTTATAAATGACATGCCTGACGCTCTACATTCCTCCATACAAATGTTTGCAGACGATGCCAAGTTATTTTGGGAAAGTAAGAACCAAACAGACTGTGAAGAGCTGCAGAAAGATCTCTGTGACCTTCAAGAATGGTCGAAGAAATGGCTGCTGAGATTCATTGTCAAAGTGAAAGAGGCTGCACCTGGGTCGTACCAACAGTAAGGAGGTATATCACGTGTCCCAACGGGACGAAGAAACTGCACTAGTTTAGACTGAATGTGAGAAGAGTCTAGGTGTGTATGTTGACAATGAGCTGAAGTTCTCGGGCCATTGTGAGGAGAAGGTGAATCGGGCAACTAAATTATTGGGTCTCATAAGGTCGTTCCAATATCTAGACGGCCCGTCCCTCGTAACGATCTTCATGAGTGAAGTGCTTCCCCATCTGGAGTACTGTCCCCCCGTCTGGTCCCCGAGTTATGCTAGGGACTGTCAGTTGGTTGAAGATGTTCAAAGGAGGGCCACCAGACTGGTGCCCTGCCCTTCGGCACCTCAGCTACCCTGAGAGATTAGAGTGCCTGAAATTGCCTAGCTTATACTACATATGGGCAAGGGGGGACCTAATTGAGGTGTATAAACATCTCAAAGGGCACTACTCAGTCGAGTGTCCTTACCTGGAGCTGGCGGACGCTCGCCCCACAAGGTGTCACAGCTCAAGGTTGAAGAAGCCACAAATCCAGAAAACTGTGAGGGCAAACTTTTTCGGAGTGAGAATTGTGAACTCTTGGAACAACCTGCCAGAGAGTGTTGTGACGGCACCAAGTGTGAGCTGTTTCAAGACTAGACTTGACCAACACTGGAGCGGGTTCAGGTACATTCAGGAGCCGGTGCATGCCCAGTACTTGCCAACAGTGCGTAACAGAGACGTGACCGACCACCCAAGCAGCTAATGAGCCGACCAGTGGTGAAGAGGACGTAAAGATACTACATACTCTACATGAAAAGTTCACGTAAATGAGTGTAGGTAGCGAGGTGCACCACACTCATTCAGACTGACCTCGCAAATTTGTGACTCAGTAGTCCGTTTTTCCGCAAATCCATGCATTTTCATGAGCGTTTCCCAATTACTATACCGTGTTTATAGCTTGTCCGTACTCGTTTGAGAAAAATAAACATAAACTTGTTTTGAAATTTAAACACTCATGGACTTTTTTGACATTTATTCCACTCTATATAAATGATGTGGATTAGAAATAAAGAAAATACAAAATAAATCTATAAAATATGAAAAATGAGAAGCATAAGTGTGTGTGTGGAGCCAAGCTGCACTCCACCCCCCAATAAACGTCATGGCAGTGCAGCAGCCACACGTCTCTGAGTCAGCTGGGTGACTGCCTGGTTGAATTGTCACGTAGCCCAGAGGATGGTTTGAGTGTGGAAGGAACTACTTTTAGTACATGAAACAGCGTATGTGCTATTGTAACAATTTAATATTTATCATAGTAATTTTTTTAATTTTTGATGCACAATATGCAACTTGAAATGTGTTCAAATTAGGCTAAGCTTGTGCTCACTAAATCATTTAACTCCTGAACCATTGTTTAGAAAGAACTGTCCAATAAATATGGCACTGGCATCTAAGTTTGAAACAATAAAGATTTATTCTGTACAATCGCAAATGATTAGCAAATATTCCTGTTTTTAATGCTTATTTTGCAAATCTGCGCCTTTCGGAAATTCGACCATGGGACTCAGACTAGACAAATGCTGCACGACACCCACACACAGATGTGATCTGCACATAAGAACATACAAATAATCCAGACTGATGTTGGATTTTTGGAATTTTTAAAATATTTCTGGTGAATAGAGGAGCAGTTTGAAACACTTCAGAGAGTCCGAAAAAAGTAAATTCCGGTGTATCAAGGTTTTAAAGTTAAGTGCCGTAGTTCTGGATTACATAAACAGCTCCTATCCTTCTCATAATTTCACCTGGGTTATGTCCATACACCAACACAGAGACAGACAGGCCCCAGGCTGGCTGTGACCTCACTGTGTCAACAAAAAACCAGGAGTTTAATGCCACACAATAACTCATCTGGGGTTGAGTTGGGGATTTTTGGGTATGTGAAAATTTATTACTTGGCAATAATGTTTTATTAATCTGGTACCAAATGAACCTAAATTATATGGGAATTATGGTGAAACTACATAATGTTGTATTAATGGAGTGAGAGGGTGCACTTGGCTCTAGAATGGGGAGGGAGGGAGGGGCACTATACCTCCCACACCACTTCACTAACTACTACAGTATTAATATTTCTTATTTTATAGTTTTATATTATATTATATAGTTTTATATTATATTTTCTTTATTTCTAAGTCACACTGGAGCACTGAAGTGATATTCATATTATATCTTCTTATATTTTCAAGGCAAATTAGAGCCATGAAATAATTCTCCACAACTTTCGTGGATCCTTATGAAAAAACACTGTGGCAGTCGGTGGTTAGTAATGGAGGTACTGTACCTGCCAGTTTAATTATGTGAATTTGTATTTCATGAATTCTTGAGACTCCACTGTACTGTATTCCTGTTTGTATATACTGTACATAATTATAGTACAGGTACTGTATAGTAATGTATAATGATAAAATCAATTTAAGAAATAAACTAAACTTAAACTTGTGTCCTCCAAAAATTGTTAACAGTACACAAAAGACTACAACGATATATTACTTACTATGGTGGCGAGAGCAACAGCGTCTCCATATTGTACTGCAAGTCCTAAAGCTGCGTGAACATCCAGCATGGCTCCAAAGTAGTTCTCTCCCTCGGCAAGGTAATATCGTTGAGAAGCCGAGCGAACGAGTTCCATGAAGCCGTGATAGTGATCAGGAGACATCATCACATGAAGGTGTGGATGGATCTGTGAGGCTCCAGCATGTAACAGTGTGTCCCAGGCAAGGTTGGGGTAGCTGTTAAAGACAGTTTCCTTAATAACACACAAAAGACAACTACACTTGCTATGACTTTGTGTAGTACAGTACAGTACAGCACAGCACGGCACGTCATGGCACGGTACAGGTACAGTACAGTACGGCAATTATCTTATTGACTTTCATTATATAATTAAGAGAAATGTTCCAACAAAACTTTTTGCCCTATAACTTACTTAAAATGATACAGTATCTATATTTTTAAACACAAGTGTCATGGGAATTAAGTGTCAAATTATAAAATAATACTAATAAGGGCACACAAGTTTAATTGTTGAAATTTATAAAAAAACTTCCAAGAGTAGTTACAAATTATCTTTGTATAGTACTGTATGTTAACACAGTACAGTACGGTATTTACAGAAAGGCTTCACCACTAACCCCACATGTTTTTCATTCCACAGTGAGACACCAACTAATGTTTCTGTGCGTACATTATCACATATACCTTTGAGTATTATTTTTAGAATGGGTTAATATTGAGTGCTACAGTACAAGTACTCATTTAACATTTGGTATTTACAGTTACAAACAAAAGTCCTGTCCTACTGCCAGCCACAATGTGAAGCACCTGAGGTTCAGTAAGTTAAGCCCCAGAAGTTAGTGTCTTTTGGAACCAATACAGTAGATGGGGCACAGCGTGTGGGGGAAAATGACGGGACAAATCATCAGATCCTTATCGTGTTAAGATTGAGATGTTGTTTTTGGTTATCACAATAATAAGGATGAAAATATGAGTCATGACACTCTCCTATATGGACAACAAAGAACAAATACTACGAGGTCGTAACGGCAGTAGAATTAATTGTACGGCAGAATCCCGGTTACCCGACACCTACGGGGATTGAGAGGTGCCGGGTAGAGAGATTTTCCGGTTAGATGAAACTCATTCTTAGCAGAGGCAGATCCAGGAATATCATGAGGGGGTCCAAGAAGTTGTGGGTAGGGGAACATGGCAAGCACTAAATAAGTGGCATCATCTTCACACAAAACAAACTCGCACACAAACCAAAGAACAGAATTTATCGGTGCTGCACATTTCAAATACGGGAAGTCCTCGTATAACGTCGCCCAGCTCAACGTTGTTTTGGTACGAGTCGCTACTCTTTAGATGCCAATAATTCGTTTAACGTCCCAACGACTCAATATAGTGTGGTTTACATCATCACTGTTTTCCCATAAGAATGCATGTAAATGGTACAGGTTAAAGGAATTGACTTAACAGAATGTAACTTACATTGCTGGATCCTTATAAGATAGTGATTAATTTGAATATAAACATGCTATAGTTTGCACAAGACCTAAACATTTTAATAATTATTTAATACATTTGAGTACAGTACAGGTTTGCTCTTAGGAAAATATGTATTTAGGATGGTGTGTGCATGTAAATGAGTAAAAAGAAATGAAGAAAGTTACTATATCTACCAAAAAAAAAAAAAAAATTGAAAAACATGTACAGTACTTGAATGTACTTATGGGGCTAAAATTTTTATCTCTACAAAATATATGTCTTTATTCATATTATCTGGTGTCTAGCAAGGATTCCACCAGTGCAATTTATATTCTGTTAACTTTAGTCTGTGCCATTTAATAAGATAAAATCTTTAAGCCCAAAACCACGTTCAATCTTGCCGGATGTCAGAGGGGGAGGTGATTTGTTATGACAGCAGCAGCAGGGAAGGTTACCTAGTGTGTGTGTATCAGTCACACAGAGGGAGTTTTAACATTATAAAATGTCAATGAATGTGACTATAGTAATGCATACAAGCACCTCACCAGGCATCACAAAAGGCGCTTTGAATTTATGTATATGTAATGTATTTCACGGGTCAAAGAGAGGCTCGGGAACGTAACTCCCGTATTTTATCTGTTTCTTATGGGGAAAATTGATCCACTTAACGTTGTTTCGCATGACGTCGCATTTTCGGGAACGTGACCCCGACATCAAGCGAGGACTTACTACTACTTTGTTATCTTCGGTGCTTGTAAGTGTAAAGGCTGTACTGTGTATGATAAAAGACAACTTGTGCATATACAAATCTATTTCAAATGGTGGAATACATATACAGTACGCGATGCAGTATTACCTTTTTATATCGAACCTCTATACCAAACGGCTCGGAAGATTCCGGAAGTACCTCTCTATATTATACGGTACGGTACCGTATAAAGAACCTTCGACCAAACCCCTCCTCATATATAATACTGCGATACAATCCTCTGATGTGATTTACAAATAAAGAAAATATACAGAAATATAAAACTATAAAATAAGAAAATGACAAGTGGCAAATTAATTCAGTGTGGGAGAGGAGGTAGGCAAGGCAGGTTGCTGGCTGGACAAAGCAGAAAATTCCTCCTCTGGTCCCTTGTAACAACAGTATACAATTTGGCCACAATTCCCATATTACCCTCATAGATGTACTGGGGGGGGATGGGGGGGGGGATTGCTTCCCGTTGAGCAAATAAACTGTTCCAAATAAACCCTTTTTTAACAATAAGAAAAGATAAAATAATAGCAAATAAAATAAATAAAAATAATAGCACCACAAATTGGATGGTAAGCTCATCATGAATGTATATAAAAATATTAATTATCTGGTACTCCAACAACACTGTACAGTACCTTGGTATGTTTCGTTCACAGTTAACCCACCCCACTCCAGCTAATTTCAGAGAACCACACTGGATTTTGTTCAAATTTCATACAAATGTACTATACTCTTTTACATGAAGGATCTGTGTTCATTATTGAAAATTTTGGGTACAGTAATGTAATGAAGTGTTAATTAATGACCCTTGCAATAAAAAAATGCCTTTAAAATATTTAAAACATCAATCATGCTGTTCCTGTAACTTTTAAAGCCCTCTTATATATACAGTATATTTATATTTTCTCAACAATATAAAGTAACTTTACCATTTCAGAACCCTAGTTTCCATTTTCCAGAAAATTCTGGCTTTGGGAACAATTTTCTGAGGAGAACATTTTGCGGAAGATTCCAAGAAATTTTTCCCGATACCTGGAAAATTCCGGGGATGGGGGATATTATTCCGGGTTCAAGAGTCGTCTCGTTACCCGAAAATCCCTCACTCCCGGGAGAGCTCTGCACCAATTGTTCCGGCTAACGGAGACATCACCGTATTTTGTCATAGGCATACCAAAGAGGGCTATGGGAGAGACCACCCTTCCTTGAGCTAATAAATTATTCCAAATAAACCATTTTAATAATAAAAAAAAAGAACAAAAATAACACTAATGAAAGAAATAAAAATAATAGCATCACTAATTGAACGGTAACCTCATCATAAACGTACAGAAAAATATTACAATATTGTTGTAATTCTCTTGTATTTCAACAACACTGTGCCTCAGTTTGTTTTGTTCAAATTTTTGGGTAGGTCACTGATTACAGGTAGTTAGGCTCATTTGGTGCCACATTATTTAATAAAACATTGTCATAAAATAATCAGTTCTCTCTCTCAAAAAAAAAAAAAAAAAAATCCTACACAACCTCAGATGAGTTATTATATGGTACAGTATTAAACTTGTGGCATTGTGTTTACATAGACCAACAGCTGACCAAGCACCCAGCTAGCTAGCCAGGGAAGGAGCTGTTTACGTAATATAGAACTTTTTTTGGTATAATATCCTTGTGTTATTGTATTTTTTTATATATCATTTATGATATTTACTATCTATTAAAGTCTTATGTTACCAAACTATGTTTTATATAACAAAAAATCCAGTATTGTGACAATTTATCTGCACTAAAAATATCAAACTTTACCATATACTGTACAATGCAATACAGTACAGTACAGTACTGTACTGTACTGTACTGTACTGTACAGGGTGTTTTGAAAATACATTACATAATGCTGGGGATGTATTCCTGACACAAGATAAATTACTTCATAACCATGGTGTCAACACCTCATAGTTATAACACATGACAGTTGGGTTTGGAAGGTGATAAAACTATGGAGTATAAATTAAATATCCAGTATTGCTAGTACAATTTATTTACAACCATAGGCAGTCTGATATGGAGTTTACGGTAAATGTTCAAAGTTCCGGCCCTGTTATTGAACGTTACCGCTTACTTTAAACAGGGCTTCATATTTTGTGTTTTATGTCCCTATGGAGTCATTTGTCCTTATGTATGTCTCAAGAATACTTCCCCAGAATAATGTAATATAACTCTGCACACCAAACAAAGTTAAGTACTGTATTGAATGAGTTTTTCAGATTTGTTTTACACCAAAAATCTTCTCACCTGTATACAAAATTGGCTGTTCACCACCAATTTCTTTAAGGAGCGGTAAGACTGTAAATTACAATATATCACAAAACACTATAACTATAGGTAATAGAGCAACTCACATGTAGTGGAGGTCCTTCGTGCTTACTTCATACGCCCATGTTGCGGCTTCCTGGAAGAATTTGACAATCAAACTCTTGGTCAAGTTAATTGGATGGTGCAAGTGACGCGTGATCACCATGCTGTGCCATGCTTCCACTTTAAATGTGTTTGTCATACGAACTGTTTCATCTGTGATGTGCCTATATACAAAAATACATACACTATTAGTACAACACTACACATGATACCTTAAAATATATTCAAATACAATTAACGTCCTTTAATCAAATTAATAATTTTCAGAAAGAAATGGTAGATCCTATGATCCTACCACAGATAGCAAATTTTGTTATTAAAATCCAAGCTCGAAGCCACAAGCTTCCTCACACCGTGACCTACAACACTAAACGTCACCAGTTAAACTCCAACACATCTGAATACGGTAAATTTTTTGGAGGTAAAAGACAATATTAACCCTTTCACAGCAACTGCTTCAAATTTGGGAGACTGTCTAAATGACACACTATTGTCAAAAGATATAAAAGAATGTTTGATGATTCTGGCTACATCTAAAGACAAGTTATGTAATGGCCCTTGTTTCACAAACAGAAGTATTATATAAATGGGTTAAAATTACATTTGATTTATATACTGATTCATACCCTGTAACTTTCCACTGGCTATGAGGTGACATGTTCAATGCACGTGATAAGGTGTGCCCAAGGGAAGCTGCGTCATACTATGCTGAGTAAAGGCATAAAGTAGCCGGCTCCTGGCCACCTAAAGCGGGCAGTAGCTTGATATCCTTGACTAGAGGAAGACGTTATTTGAGAGCCGCAGTGGATGGCTCCGTCATCCCTCGAGGGAGGACGACGCGTCTATTCCGTTCTCCCTCGATGGGTCACTACTCAGAGTCTCACTCACAAACTTACATTGAACGGAAATTGATTCACGTCTATTTACATAGACGCCGTCCTTTCTCATCACAGTCATAAATAGTGGAACTTACGGTTGATCTACACTCAGGAATTATACAAATAATACTTTTTAATAAAAGAAGAAACTTCAATTGGGTTTCGTTACTAAAGCCCAATATAATATACATGAACAAACCTGGTCAACATTGGAAATAACCAGCCAGTTCAGTTATGTTAAAAAGCATAACCAGATCACTGTTGCTAAAGGGTTATGTTGGGACAACAACCACCACCTTTTTTATCTCCATATAAGAGGAATTCAAGTTTAAAATCTATGTTATTTATAATCATCCACCATATTGAGCTTTATTTCTTATCAGTTACACATTTATTCATTTATTTATTACAGAAAATATGGCTGATGTGAGAACACAAAGGTATACAAGGGACAAATATGATAATTTTTATTATTATTCTGATGATCAATATTTACTGCATATACTCAGGTGTAGTTCGAGTAGGAGGGTTTAACAATATACACCTAGTATTTTTGAGGGTTTAAAAGTGGTGTATTTCCATGGATCATTAACAGTGAATGATAACTACCAGGTAGACTTACCACGCTCCTTCATCCTGGCCTTACCTGCCATACCCCTAGAGTCTTTCTTATGTTGTTGCATCAAGAGCAGAACCTCCTTCACTAACAGTACTGTACAGTATATGCCACTTTAAGTCTATAAATACTTGACACAAATGAAGATTTATAGATAACTTTCCTTTTGTTTGTATCAGTTAACATCACTGGTGCCAAGTTAGACTCATCACTGTAGCCACATCCCCCCAGCTCTCTCCCCACCAGGCCGAGCTGTCAGATGTTATGATTATTTTTCAACTTGTAATTTGGGTAAATATACATAAATTTTTTCATTTTTCTTTTGCTCAGTTTTGTGCATCCATAATCCTACATACATAATGTCCAATAAAATATATAATGTATGTACTGAATACAGTAGTATCTCAGGTTTAGCGAGTTTTAGATTTGCGATTCATATGTTTCACGTCACTTTCAAAATTTCCAGTCTCTCAAGAATAGCGATTTTCATTACCAGTTTCGCGAGTCATTGTTGAGTGGACAGCGAGCAATGTCACGGTCTTTTGTTATCGGTCGACCCACCGACTGTTTTTGTTTACGGCATAACGGCAGTTAGTTTGAATGAGCGAGTGATGTAGTGACCTTGGATAATATAACCCATTGTGCTTACGTTTCGCGAGATTCTTGTTTAACTATTAACGATTCTTGTGTATTCGCGATTCTTGTGTATAAACGATAAGTGAAGGTCAATAATGTAAATGTCGGGAGCGGTTCTGGTGGTAATGATGGCCGTAGAGGTCAACAAGGAAAGCCCCAAGCCAAGCATGACTACCGTAAGGGGAGTCAAGAAGAGGAAATACTGTACACCCTTGAAATGAAACGAGAAATGCTTGAAATGATCAAAAGTGATGCTCATACCTGTGAAGTGACACATGGGTTCAACTGCCCCGAATCAACCATACATTCCCTTAAGAAGAACAAGGAAGCCTTAACGGCTTCTGTGAATGTATTCTTAAGATTTTCTATAGCAGGACGTTCTCCAATACTTCACAATGAAACCTACTGCTTGTTATCACGGAACATTACCGTCACAAGTGGGTGGAAAGAAGAAACCTTGAGCAAGGTGACCTGTCTGGGCCACAGATAAGGCATCAAGCACGTGTTGATTACGCTGCAGTTGCACAGAAGAAACGTGTTGACTATCCACCACCGTTCAATCTTCTGTTGGTTGGTTGGCTGCCTTTAAGAAGCATTATGAAGTCAAGTTTGCCCACTACCATGGGGAGAGAGCATCGGCTGATGTCACAGCAGCAGAAAAATATTCACCTGTCTTTCAAGCTCTTGTGAAAGAGGGTTGTTATTACCGAGACCAGATCTTCAATTGTGACGAAAATGGCATTTTCTGGAAGCTCTCACCTAAGACCACTTTCACTGCCAAGGATGAAAAACAGGCAAGGGCGTGTAAAGACTTCAAAGGACAGGATTACAGTTATATCCACAGCTAATGCAAGTAAACATTTCTTGATGAAACCCCTGGTTGTTAACTGTGCTGCCCGTCCTAGAGCCTACCATCATGCCAATATGTCGCAGCTCAATGTTTATTGGACGTCTAATAAGAAAGCTCGGGTTACAACGTCTTTATGGACCAATCGGTCTGACAAGCACTTTGTTCCTGACGCCCAACAGTACTGCTGGAGGAAGAACATTGACTACAAAGTGATCCTGGTGATGGATGATGCTCCTGGACACTCTTTAAGTTTGTAATTGGATGCCACCCTAATGTACAAGTTATCTTCCTTCCTCCTAACACCACATCACTTCTGCAGCCACTTGACCAAGAATTCATCAGTAATGTTAAGCTGTTCTACTATCAGTCACTCTATAAAGACTTTCATCAGGCAGACAGACTCATTAGTTGTTACAATAAATTGAGGCAGAACTTTCTGACAGTGACCAGGCTCTACCAGCTAACCAGGAGGAGGAGATGGTAGACGACCTGACTCCTAGCACCTCACCACCCCTCAACTGTGAAGTGTTATCAGTTTGTGAATTTGGGAAGAAATATAATATTAAAAATGCAGTGGACAGAATTGTTGAGGTATGGCGTAAGATTAATGTTGCAACAGTGCTACATGCACGGAAGCCTTCGTTGGCTAACTCCGAGATAAGTGGGACAGAACAGACCGCGAGGAGAGGCAGTCCGTGGCGGCAACACTAATGGACACAATGGAGGCAGCCCGCTCAGTCCCAGCACCGGGATTTTTAGATGTTCAGGTTGAAGATTTACAAGAAATCGTTGGTCAACATCAGCAGCAACCGACAATTGAAGAAATGTTGGAGGAGGACGAAGAGCAAGAAGAACAGCAACCAACACAAGAGGATGACGTTAAGCCTGGTGAACCTACAACACACCAGCTGACTGAGCTGCTCACAAACATCGCACGTCTCGGTGAACAGCTACAAGAATACGATTCCAGGCCTCATCCTCGGAACCTTATCTGCCCCGTCCTCAATAAGGTTATGGAGGAATATAAGGCCTTGTACTGTACATGTCCCGTGTTAATGGTCATCAGCTGGCCCTCATTACTGTACAAAGCCAGCCTATTAATGCCTTGGCAAACATCACTTTAGGAGATGATGATGACACCACCGATGACGATAGAGTAGTGTTGGGTGACTTACTGGTGGAAGAGCTGCCTCAAGACTTTGATGCTGAGGTTAGAGGAGGGAGCAGTAACCAGCCCTCCCCATCAACCAGACCCGTCAAGCATTTCACTGACTCCATCAAGGTAAGTTATTCTACAGTATGAGTGTATATAAATATTGTTATTAACAATATATACAATATATTATCTGTGAATACATTAATGTAATGTCATTAGGCTTATTTATATGTATTTCAATGTCACTCGTTTCACGATTTTAACTTTCGCAAAGCTAAAACCAGTACCAATTAGTCGCGAAACATGAGATCTTACTGCGTATACAATTATCATAAAGTGAAAAATATAAGGGGAATAAATATTTCTTTGTGCGCAAGAATTAGCAGACTGAAAAAGGAAGGGAGGAGTGGAGTGAGGGAGCTCCACTGCTAGGAGGGTAGACAGAGGCAGTGTCCCAGCTGGACTGTATTGCTATGGTGAGCATCAAGGCCAGACAGCCAGCATTCCTGAAACTGTGAATGAACAAGCAATTCGTGATTCTATTCAAGCGAATGTTCCTGCAAGTGCTAAAGTGGTGCAGGTTGTTCGTGACAAGAACATTGTGAAAACTGAGAAAGCACTGAACATTTGGACTGAGGACCGGCACCACAAAAATGTTCCTATCGACAGCAACGTGATTGGTGAAAAGGCTAAAAGTCTTTATGCTCTTTTTTACGAGTCAACGGGTGGTGAAGGGGCTAGTGCCATGACTGAACCAACTTTTAGTGCCAGTAAAGGTTGGTTCAAGAATTTTAAGAAAAAGATTCTCACTCCATAATGTGAAGCAGACTGGGGAGGCCGCATCAGCTGACCACACAGCCGCAGATGTAATTCCCACCAAGTGGAAGAAAACAATAAGAGAGAAAGGCTACAGACCAGAGTGAGTGCTTAATGCTGATGAATCTAGTTTATATAGGAAGAAAATGCCTGGTAGAACCTACATAAACAAGCAGGAGAGGCGTGCCTCAAGGCAGTCAGGGACAGAGACGTTCATCTTCTGTGGCAATGTGGCTTGCCTGGCTCGCTTTACCGCTCAGCAAACCCTTGGGCTTTCAAGGGTAAAAACAAGAACCTTTTGGCAGTCCAACAAAAAGGCTTGGGTAACCGTCCAAGCATTCCTGGACCGGTTCCATAACTGCTTCGTCCGGGAAGTGAAAAAATACCTTGCTTCCGAGAAGATGGAATTCAAAGTGTTATTATTGATAAACAATGCACCAGGCCACCCAGAAAGTTTAGCCTTCCAGGTGTAGAGGTGGTGTTCCTACCCCCTAACACCACTGCTCTTATCCAGCCTCTCGATCAGGGTGTAATACACACCTTCAAGGCATATTATACACGCTGCTCTTTTGGTCGTATCCGTAGTGCCATGGATGAAGACCCTGACCTTGATGTTAGCAAGTGTTGGAAGGAGTACAGCATTGTGGACTGCATTACCAACATCAGTGAAGTGTTCAGTGAACTCAAACCAGAGAGAGTGAATGGTTGTTGGTGAACCTTATGGCCTGAGTGTGTGAATAACTTTCAGGGATTTCCGTCCATAGTAAAGGAGGTGAATGACATTGCGAGTGTTGCACGTCAGTTGGGTGGTGAGGGGTTTGTGGACATGGCTGCTGAAGACGTGGAAGAGCCCATTGATGGCCACGGAGAGGAACGGACAGAAGAGGATTTGGAAGAGTTGGTAAAAAGTGCCGATGAAGAGGAAGACATTATGGAATTACAACAAGAAGGTTGGAGCTTGGACAATATTGGTGAACTATTTCGTCAGGTAAAGATGATGAATGAATTCATTGTTGACCACGACCCTTCCATGGAACACAGCCTTAAGACAGTCCAAGGAATCAACCAGGTATTGCTTCCCTACCAGTGACGTGCCACCCCACCACCCGCCTCTCCACCAACCACCACTCCATCACCCTCTTCCACCAGTGATCCACCTATGCTTCAGTAACCAGATGTCTCCCTATGTACAGTACACCACTTAAACTTCCACATATAATGTAAGTACTGTACAGTATTGTGACCTAAGTTTCTCCTACACAGTATACCTGTATATTAGTGCACTAAGGTATTATATAAGTAGCTATTACAGGTTTTGCCAATTCATGGAACCTATCCCTCACACATGGCATGGGTCTACTGTACTTGTTTAATATTTTAAAACGTGTTCCCACTCTTAGCCTCAGAGTTACCAGCACGGTAGGGACCCATATACAGGTATCCCCGTATTTACGATGGAGTTACGTTCCTGAAAAGAACAGTTGTAAGGAGAAATATCGTGCATCAGGATCATTATAACATGGGGCTCAATGGGATGTGTAATCAGCCAGTCCGACACCCAAATGTATTACCGAAAATAAAATTCCTACACTAATACTACAGTACAATTAAACAATACTGACCACATCATTAAGAACAAGTCTGGTCATCATGAAGGCCTTATAAGGGGGCTCTTGTGGGTGGAGTGGAGACATGACCCACACAGCCCCTGGGGAGTCTCATGCTGCTTAACAATGTCAAGCTTCACCTCAGAGACACAGTTGTCTTGGCCTTCCCAGACATTTTCACAGTTACACTGCTCACTTCACAGTCACACAAACAGAGGCAAAGCACCTACAGTCACAAAAGCACGGAAAAATATCACTTGAGATTCACCAATACAGATTGAACCTTAGTCATGTCCTCACAGTGTAAAAAAAAAAAAAAATACCACCAATGATAAGTAAGAACACCAATAATCACTGAGCTACATGGTCATGGCACAAAGCTTGGGACTGTAGTGCAGCTGCATGGTGACCCACGGGCAGACCACAGATGACATGTGCATCATGTTGGCTAGACGATGACCATCATTCATGTGAAATTTTTTTAGATGTAAATAGGAGGATGGTTTAATACATCACCGTCGTTACAGTGAAATATGGTGGATAAGGAGGTCATAAATAGGGAGACACTGTACCTGTAATTGTACCTAATCATTCCAATATGGATGAGAAATTCAAAATGGAACAATTGGGGTAACCGTCCTCGACCTCCGGCCACGATAGCTTATTACACTGCAGCACTGGTTAATTCTCCTTGTCTTTATCAAAACTCCATTAAGCTCTTGATGAACTAGTACTTCAATTAAAAAATGTCTTCACTTTTAATTTTTAAGAAAGCAAATACAGTCGGCCCTTAACATACGCGGGTTTAGCATACACGGATTTGTAAATACGCGGATTGCCCTGCCGGAGAAATATTCTGTACCGACACTCACAGCTGGTGGTGCGTCGTTTCCATTGTTTACTGGTAGTTCCTGGTAAATATTTTTCAACCTAACGAAACTATAACCCGTTTAGAGGTCGACCCCCAATTTTTTGCCAAATAATTTGGTCATAAAAACTCGAACTACACACAGGTATAGACGGTAAATAAGGACATGGGGGGCCAGGGTTTTTTTAGAGGGGGGGGGCAATAGTACACGGATTCTGAACATTCATGGGTAGTCACAACTCTTCAACTTGTGGTACTGTATGTGTTGATGAAGAAGAGTGTAAAATAAATCGAGGGATGTAGAAAAATACATAAGCTTTACACACACTACGTACCTCCCGAACTCATCAACAGCCGTCATATTATTGTATCTGCAAAAATCACAATCTTTTGCACTGTCTTCACTGACTTTATCAACCCACTCATATATGTTTGTCTCCATGGCTGGCATTGGACGTTTAGCTCGTACTGGATTGTAGACCACGTGCTCCGATGTTAGTGGATTGAACACGTGGATCAGATGCTGCAATAAAATCAAAGATCATTAGGAAGAATTTGTGGAGTATTTCTTGGCGTTATGTCGGGCCTTTCTTGTTGGACTTAATCCCCTATTCTGTGTACATATATCACCACTAACCTCGTTCACCCACGACAGTGCAGGATACTGTACGTGATGTCTGGAAATACTGTAACAAAGTGCTTTAGTGTACAATGATGCTATATTAGGGATCTAATATGGTACAGAATATAGAGACTGCAATAATGGATGTTTTTACAGTCATCCCTTGGTTATCACGCCTAATTGGGACCGCGCCGAGTGCGTGATAACAAAAAAGGCGATAACGAAAGTACAGAACCTATGGGATTTCTTCTAATTGGTTCCAGGCACCCAAGACCCAACCCCACGTTTCCCATTTTATGACCATTTAGACCCACTAAATATATATATATATAATGTTATGGTAAATATCATAAACACACATAGGCATGGCTAGGTTTATTACAAAGTGATAAAAAGGATACGCTTAATACTGTAGTCCACAAAACATGTAGCTATGTCTTTCTTTGAGTCCCCCATCTGAGGAGTCTGTTTTCTCATCGCTTCAGGACGCCTGAGTCCTCCGTTTTCTCTCAATCTTAGAGTGCACCCGAGACTTTGTTATTCCTTAGTAATGACACAGAATTTGAAATTGCAACTGGGGTTGCAATTGTTGAGGCAACTTAGATATGTCTGATTACAGCAAATGTGTTATTGTCAATTTGTAGGTGAAAGATTTTATCCTCAATAGATGTAGGTGAAGCAAATGGGTACAAACACCTGGAGGCAACTGAGTGATAACGAAATTCTCGGCTTGAAAAATGCGCTAAAACAGCAGGTGTGCAGATTTTGATGGAGGCGTGAAAACGAAAATCACGATAACCAAGGGATGACTGTAATATGCCACGGATCAAACAGGGCGGAGCAGCACCGTGTAATGTGACCAGGACGAGACAAGTACAGTACTGTGGTGTACTTGAACACCCAATTACAGTACAGTAAATAAGGACAAACAGGGTGGAGGTGAAAACTGACCATCAAAAGAAGGAAGTGGTGTACAGGTCATAGTTTACTGTTCATGACCTAAAACTCTTTTGAGCTGGTCTAACATTTCATCTTTCCTGAGCATCTTGCATCATGGCAGAAGATATGACCACCTGTTTTTGTCATTACTTGAACATTTCACCCATTACAGAAGGTAAATAAATAGAAGAACCCATCTCACGGATACAGTACTGTACCTAACAACTAAATTTTCTTGTCAATGTCAATCGTCTCTATAATAATAATATTACATTCATATCAGAACCTGTAATGTAAACAATTTACACCTCTGGCTGCCTGACTACCGACCATGGTGGTTCCAGTTTGAACCTGGCACTCAGAGGTGTACAGTACATTGTTTACATATTACATTCACATAACTACTTTTACAATGAACCTACAGAAATTTTACCCTGTACTTGTAGACATCACACGCCCCCTCAATTTCCCTGTGTGTGTGTGTGTGTGTGTGTGTGTGTGTGTGTGTGCATGCGTGCGTGCGTGCGTGCGTGCGTGCGTGCGTGCGTGCGTGTGTGTGTGTGTGTGTGTGTGTTTCACCCCTTTCTGCACTGTACTTGTCTTACACTACACTATTTCCCCTAATCAATTCCCATTTTTCCCTCAGGTGTCTGTACAGTATTTCTTGACCCCACCCATACAGTAGTAGGAGAGGAATAAAGACAATCTGAATTGTAATCATCTATACAAATAATACCTGGTGGTTAATTTTCTTCACCATCGCCTTGTCTCCTTTCATCCACTCACTAACTCGCTTGGCAAAGGGCGCAGGGAACTTCAACTTCCCAGAGTAGCGATCGTGGACTTCGTACAATGTAATAAACTTGTGATAGACGTCTGCACACTCGGCATTCTCGGACTCGGACCACGTCGAGACGAGGTTACCAAAGATCTCCTCAATGTCTTCGGAAAAATGTCCCCCAAAGCACTCGGTTATGTACCACTCCTGGAAGGGAATTAATAACATTATACAGTATAGTTCTTCATGTGGCAAATAACTTAATACAGTACAGTACCAGTAGCTGTTTATTGAGAGCACCAATCCCTGACCAACAACACCAGTGCTAAACTTTGACCTTGGCCTTTGACTAAACCTTGAAAAAATAAAAGACTGGACACCATCCACACCCTGAACCAAACTTCACATATATCAACCACTGTCTCTTAACATAAGGTATGGATGTAACTGTCACAGGCAGGCACGTGCACAGGTAGGGCTCAAGACCAGCTGTAAAGGCTCACTTCATTGGCCTCCTCCCTCAGGGGATGGTGCCCCTTTTGCAAATACTCAGCCCCTCCATTGACAGGTCCTGTGCATGGCCCTGGTCACAGGAGGATCATCTTATATGAAATCACCATCAAGAAAACAACAACAATATGAGGTTGAGTTTAAAAGTGTGAACAGTACAGTACATGTAATCAGTGAGTGAAAGTATAATAAGCTAAAGGAATCTCAGTACTGTGTCTTGATTTTGTGCCGTCCAAAGCCGAGGCGTAAAGGAGATGTGAGCAGGAAGTGATAAGTGGAGTACAGTACAATGTGTAATATTTGGTTAGGAGTGTCTCAACAGGTACAGGAAGTGCTGGTGGTGGAAGGTGAGCTGTACTGAGAACATGTACACAATAAAGGGGGAGGAGTAAAGTGACAGGCTTTGAAAGGACTTGGATATAATTTGAGATGTGTGAGATACAATGATAATGACTAAAGTGGACCAGGATAGAGTGGAGTGGAAATGAACACCTGGAGAGTAATGCAACTATAGTATAGGGCATTTTTCCCAGCTGAGAAAAGATGCCCCGCCCCCTCCTCAAGAGTTACACCTGATTGGCTGTTGCAAATCTGTTCGATTTCGTCCTAAAGTAATGATGTATTTCTAAATGAGTTTATCCACAATCGTTGGGATGACCGTTTCTGACGAGAAAGATATTTAGCTATATTATATAAAGATACATACATTCATCATTTCAAACAAGAGCAAGTAGGAAGTTTATCAGAAATATTATACATGAATTACCTATTAAACTCTGGTAGTAAATTGATGCTTTCGGAGGATGCATTTAGTACTGTATATACTTATTTTTACACACAATAAGTTATACAAAGACAAATTACATATCAATAAAACTACATTATGCAAAAACTAACATTTTAAAAGATCAGAATCACACAAAAATATTACAAGGCCGTCAACAGAGGCAGGAAATATAACTGGAAACAACTTCATATCTTCGTGTGATTCAGATCTTTTAAAATGTTAGTTTTTGCATAATGTAGTTTTATTGATACGTAATTTGTCTTTGTATGACTTACTGTGGGTGAAAATAAGTACAGTGGTCCCTCGGTTAACAAAATTTCGGTTAACGAAATTCTTACAAAAATGTTTCGACATGCTTTGGCTTGCTCAACAGCTGGAAGAGTAGTCCGCCAATACAGAAATCGGTTCTAGGCTTACATTCATTACCATTTGAGTAAATATCAAGAAGGTTGTACTATTCAATAATTTTCCAAGTTTTATATTAAAATTTTTAGTAATTTTAACACTTATTTAACATAATTGCAGTACTGGGAACTAGTTTTTGGTGCGCCCATCAGCCACTTCACTCACCCACCAAGGCCTCAGTTTGTATCTCTGTTCAGTGGAGGAAACATCTTGCTTTTGGGTCTCTTGAACACAGAGTATTTTTATGTTTTTACAGTACAATTATTGGTCATTCTGAAATTTATTTAACATATTGACAATATATAGTGCAATGCAGTGTTGATTTAAAGAAAATAATCTTGAATTACACCTAGTGAAATTTTATGGGTGAAATGACGGCATCAAGCATTGGGTGATTTCTCTTCCACCCCCACTTCCTTCTCTTCTCCCTTCTCCTCCACCCCCAATTCTAATTCCCATCATCATTATCATTAACCAGGAGCCTTCTACATACACACCTCAAAGTAAGTGTACTTTACTGCATTTTTTTTTTTACTTTGTATGTAATTTTCGGTGAGCTGGAACCAATTACCCAAAATCCCATTGAAACAATGGTTTCGGTTAACAAAATTTTCGGTTAACGAACGACCTTCTGGAATGAATTGTGTTCGTTAACTGAGGGACCACTGTACAGTCAACCCTCACTTTACGCGGTCCCACATTCCGCGTTTCCACGTTTACACGGTGCCCTGCCAGAACCCAGGATGCTCACATTCCGTGGTGCGTGTACCCCTTTACACTGGTGAAGTATAATTTTTTTATTTAGCTCATAAAATTCATACAAATTATCCGGCCAGAATATAATTTACATTGCTGGAATTCTTACAATTTGATGATCATTTTGAATATAAACATCATAGATTTTGCATTAGACATACAAATTTTAGATATAATGTTTACTCTGAGTAAATATGTTATCTTTTGTGCAAAATATATGACAATTATATTCAAAATATTCCTGGTCTTACAAGGAATCCAGCAATGTCAATTATATTATCCTAACTTTAGTTTGAGGTATTATTTATTAAAATTTAGTGGTTTTCCCCCCAAAATTTCTCAGAGAGGGAAGAGCCAGCAGTGTAGTGTGAGAAGAGGGGGAGGGAGTCGAGTCCATTATTTGAATGGACATTAACTTGGCGACTGTATTTCTCTATTTCTCTTAAGTATTAATTGTGTGCATGTACCATCATAAAATTAAGATGTTATTTTTACTAGAACATAGTTGTGTGTCGTCAAAAAGTGGAGTTTGGGGGTCGGGCCACTCTCTATTGGAATTAATCCCATATGTTCTGTTGTTCACTTAACGCGGTACCCTGTGGGTTCAATTGACCGCGTTAAGCGGGGTACAACTGTACAGTACTAAATACCAAATGACTCCAATGATATATACTGTATGTGAGTGGTTGGCGTCATAAGCAGACTAAAGCCAGATTTCCTTGTGATAATCAGGCGAAACAAATAATAGCTCTACTTTTACCTCCAATATGTGAGTGTCTTAATCCAGTTGGTTGAGGTAGACATGAAAAAACAGTAAATGAAAGGAGGCTCAATGTGTTTGTGTAATAGCTCTTCATTCCAGCCATCCTGTATTTTAGTGGGTAAAAGCTTGAAAGAGTGAAGTGGGGATCAAACATTAAAGATACAAAAGGTTGATGGTAAGAGAATACACATTGTTAAGAAAAACATCTGTACCATAACATAACACAGTACAATACAGTCTCACTACTGAAGGATCTCACCTGTAAGTGTTTTAGTTTGCTGTTGAACACCGGCCACACAGAATAATCTTCCTTCAATGAGTAATGGTTGGGGCTCAACTTAGACAATGAGGTTCTTCTTAAATTCCACTGATAGAAGAAGTAAACCACACCAGCAACAAGCACCAACACCACAAACCTCAACTTGAGAGAGTATTTCATTGTTTCACTCCTTACGGTATCTGATGGGGTAAAAATTAATATTTCACTACATGAAAAACAAAAACAAAAATGATACCTTACAGGAATTAGAATTGGTAGTAAAAAATAAATTGGAATAAAGTCTGTGAAGCTGTGGGTTAGCCCTGATAACCTGATATCATGTAAAGATTCAATTAAAAATATAGATCACAATAAAATACTGGGGGATTTGTGTTGTTCTACGTTGGCCTCAATAACTCATCGGTGCTGCAGTGTCAAACTTTTACCACATCATTAATTTATATCATATCGTCTTGACTTACTGTACAAGTGGTATTTTGAGTTTACAGCTGGTGACTCCCCAAGTTAACGCTATACAGTCAACCCTCACTTTACGCGGTCCCACATTCCGCGTTTCCACGTTAAGGCGGTACCCTGCCGGAACCCGGGATGCTCACATTCCGCGGTGCGTGTACCCCTTTACGCGGAGAGCGGCTGGCGAGCCGCGCCATTTTTGGATCCAAACCTCCCGCCATCTCTCCCGCCATGTTGTGTAAGCGGCGCAAGCAGGGTGCGCACAAGGTCGCCCAGTCATCAAAACATTACTGAGTTCTTCACCCGCCACCCACCACAGCCGGCCCAAGTCAGTGATAGTGATAATTATAGTGAGGATATGGACTTATATGGACTTTGAGGAGTTTGACAAAGAGGCCCTGCAAGCCTCTGTGGTGGATAGTGATACAATTGATACAGGTGAGGGCCAATAATCTGCCCTCTGCCTCGGAACCAACCCCCCCTCCCCGTGTGCCCAGCCATCTTTTCTACTAATGTAAGTGTTAAAAAACCTAATTATTGATATTTCTCTTAATTATTAATTGTGTGTGCATACCATCATAAAATTAAGAAGTTATTTTTACTACAACGTACGTATTATGTCTGAAAAAGTGGAGTTTGGGGGTCGGCCCAGTCTCTATTTCAATTAATCCCATATATTCTGTAGTTCACTTTACACATTTCCCGCTTTACGCGGGCCTCCTTGGGTTCAATTGACCGCGTAAAGCGAGGTTTCACTGTAGTTATTGGAGAAATACAGCCATCTGCAGACATAATAAATGGCTTCTCTCATATTGAAGATTTTTTTTCGTTTACATGTTTTGGGAGGGAAGGAGGAGGAGGAGGGAAAGAAGATAAAGTGAGACGTCACCTTCAATACAACGTATCCTTTTATTCTCAAGTCAAAATACAAAAATTTTTATTATTATTATTTTTATTGAAGACTTTATATTATGTACAATGAATCGTACACCATAAGAGGCCGATCATAGTAGAATATAATAATAATAAACCAATAATATTCAGGCCAAAAGATGGCCGTGACAGCAATCAGAGGGAAGGGAAGAGATTACCTTCTGATACAGTTAGTCCTTTTGTTTTAAAGTCATACTACAAATTATACATTATTTAATATAGTATATTATTCATGAAGAAACATACACCACAATAGACTCATCATATGAGAATACAATACTGTAGTATTGTATAATAATGAAAGAAAAACAAACTTGGTGTTGTAGCAACAGCCAGTCCCACACAACAAAAGTCATCTCTTGTGTATCAACTCTCGTTCAGTCTTATTAGACCACTGTACTGTACACTATAAAGACAATATCGTATATACGTACAGTAGTCTACTTTAAACGCTAGCCATCATTTATGAGTTAAACAGAAGAGAAAGTTTTGCTGGAGCATTTAGAGAAGAGAAACAATAATAGAAGAGAAAGAAGATAAGAGAAGATAAAGAAGACAAAGAAGAGAGAGAAAGAGAAAGATATGAACAATATATATACTGTAGTCTTGATAATTCACAAAATACAAATTTGCATACTCATGGCAAGAATTTCCACCGCATCACCGCGCCCCAAACTCACAATTGCTCTGCTGCTTCCTCCTCCAATCATCAGATCAACGGGGTGGTCGGCAAATCTTGTGGGTTAATTCCCTAATATATAACCGTGGGTTATACAAAGCGGCGGTGAAGGGGACGTCGGTTTATGAGGTAAACCCGTACCTTTTTTATCCTCTAATCTTTGCTGTTGGTTATATATATATATATATATATATATATATATATATATATATATATATATATATATATATATATATATATATATATATATATATATATATATATATATATATATATATATATATATATATACAGTATATATATATATATACAGTGGTCCCTCGGTTAACGAACACAATCCGTTCCAGCAGGTTGTTCGTTAATTGAAAAATTCGTTAACCGAAACCATTGTGTCAATGGGTTTTTGGGTAATTGGTTCCAGCTCACCGAAAATTGCCTAAATTCAACAAAAATGGAAGAAAAGTTCACTTACTTTGAGGTGTGTATGTAGAAGGCTCCTGGATGATGACGATGATGATGGGAATTAGAATGGGGGTGGAGGAGAAGGGAGAAGAGAAGGCATTGGGATGGAAGAGAAGTCACCCCATGGCACCATTTCACCCGTAAAATTTTAGTTCTCTTGGTGTATTTCAAGATTATTTTCTTTAAATCAACACTGCACTGCATTATATATTGTCAATATGTAAAATATATTTCAAAATGACCAATAATTTGCTTGGAAACAGAAAAAAAGCGTTGAAGAGAGTCTCAAGCAAGATGTTACCTCCACTGAAAACAGAGAGAGACTAACGCCTGTTTGCTGTGTTAAGAGGCTGGATGCCGCGCATTAAACTAGTCACTTTACCTTCAATTATGTTCAATAATTGTTAAAATGACTAAAAAATTAAATATTAAACTTATAAAATTATTGAATACAGTTGTACCCCACTTAACGCGGTCAATTGAACCCAGAGGGTCCCGCGTTAAGTGAAAACCGCGTTAAGTGAATAACAGAACATATGGGATTAATTCCAATAGAACCCAGCCCGACCCCCAAACTCCACTTTTTGACGACAAATAACTATGTTGTAGTAAAAATAACATCTTAATTTTATGATGGTACATGCACACAATTAATACTTAAGAGAAATAGAGAAATACAGTCGCCAAGTTAATGTCCATTCAAATAATGGACTCAACTCCCTCCCCCTCT